CCATAGAGTCTCAGTGTGAGATTGATGGGCACCCACCGCCCCGCCCACATATCCCTCTCGCTGAGGAAAGGTTGGCTGTGTGACCCCAGTTCGCAGAGGTTACACCCCAGCTCGATGATGACTAGATAAGAATGTCAATAATCGGCCTCGGTGATCGCCTAGATTGTAGATTTGACTTCACGATACACGGACTTAGGACCATAAATATTTATTGCGTCCATACAGTAGCTTATTCAGTACCACAACCACCGGGAAAACCCTCTGACTATATAGGGCACTCCAGACTCAAGTTCGGGAAGGTGGCGTCGAAGGTAATTACTAGAAATGTATTTTAGAACTACAGCGGGCTGATGCCAATTATACAATTTACAATTACATGCAGTAAATTTGACGAGGGCGGCTGCATTTATTGAGGAGATCTTTGAAAAAATAAACTTGCATTTTTTTGTGAACTTTAAGCAAATGTCTTTTTTGTCCAATAAAGCAGTATTTTTATTTTCTTCTTTTTTTATTTTCTTTTATGGGTCATTATTCTTTAGATCTCCGGCTACGATCCAACACCCTTAATATGGAAGCCGCATCAAAAATGGGTACTCATCCTTACCTAATACATGACCTTCAGTATTCGAGTATCAGTAGTCCGACTCGGACGCAGGAGTTGACTTTTGAGGACTGAACTCTGTGTTTGAGGCAAAAAAGTTGTATTATTATAGTACTAGATCCTGTGTCACTGACAACGAATGCCAGACATGGAAAGGGGGGGGGGGCATTGTATGATCAATTTAAGCCCCTACACCGGTCTACATGAGGCCTGGTATATTAAACATCGCTCTGGCCCCCATAATAAATGCAAGCTTGTAGCTTTCTTCCCAAGACCGCCTTGACGTCTCCACACTTCACACAGCTGAACTCTGGCATAATGTACAACCAAGTTTGAGTTTATTATAATGTCTTTAAGGGCAAAATTGATTTGGAAAATTCTCTCAAATGCTGTGCCGTGTAGTGTCCTCTGATGTGTGACATCATACTAAAAATTCTAGTTTTAGAAGAAAACAAATTAAGAAGGTGACGTTGACCCTCTCATTTTCTGGCTCTTTAGTCGTGAAAGACAAGGGCGACTAGAGCATGGGGGGGGGGGGGGTATCAGCACGAGCATTTCATTTGGCTTGCTTTTGGTGAGAAAAAAAACCCATCCATCTTGTATAAAAGTCGAGATCTTTGCGACTGATAGAGGCTGGAGTTGTCAGGGGTAAGTGCAAAGATGGCGGCAAAGGTTTAGTGACTTCCAAGGCTGTAATGTCCTTGAAAACCGCAACTTCCATTAACGTATTTAAGTAAACTCCGTGTAGGAATATGCATTTAAGTGGACATCAAAGGTGTACACACACACACAAACACACACACACACACACACACACACACACACACACACACACACATTGGTAATCAAGAGGGTATAGTGTCACAATTGGATAACAATCTGGGAAATCCTTCCGGGGTCAAGGGTGAGAAGCGAGAGTGAAAGAGTCAGACAGACAGACAGACAGACAGACAGACAGACAGACAGACAGACAGACAGACAGACAGACAGACAGACAGACAGACGGACAGACAGACAGACAGACAGAGAGTGAAGAAGAGAGAGAGAGAGAGAATGGAAGGGTGTGTGAGAGAAGAGAGAGAGATGGAGAGAGATATGTATGAATATGTGTCTCTGTCTGTCTGTGTGTCTGTCTGTGTGTCTGTGTGTCTGTCTGTCTGTCTGTCTGTCTGTCTGTCTGTCTGTCTGTATGTATGTATGTATGTATGTATGTATGTATGTATGTATGTATGTATGTATGTATGTGTGTGTGTATGTGAGTACGTATACATGTATGTGTGTATGTGTGTGTGTCTGTCTGAATGTCTGTATGTCTGTGTATGTATGTGTGTATGTGAGTACGTATACATGTATGTGTGTATGTGTGTGTTTCTGTCTGAATGTCTGTATGTCTGTGGGTATGTCTGTGTGTATGTATGTGTGTGTGTGCGTCTGTGCGTATGTATGCGGGTGTTTGAGTGTATGTATTAGGGCTGTACCCCGGTAGCAAACCCGCTCGTGCTCGCAAGCCCCTAGTTCAAGTCACAAGTCTCAAATCACTAGGTCAAATCATCAAATCAAATCACCAGCATGATAAGTTGAGTCTAGCGCAAACTGTAACCTCCTTGGTCTAGTCTAAACTTCAAGTCCACAGCAACTAGCAATCCGCGAAGCCACTTTCGTGTCAGACCCACTCATCATCCCCACCCTGCTGATCCTCTGACTACATAGCTCATTTTCACTTTACTCTAACTCATCTCGATACAAGAGAATCCCCGAGAGAGTCCATAGATGAACCCTCCTCCCATAAGAATTCCCCCTCCCACCCGCACACATTCTCCCCACGCGCCCCAACTTCCGCTGTCCCCCCTAAGGGTTCACGATGACACGCATCTGTTTGGAGTTTTTTAGACGCCAGACCTTGTCACGGACGTGATCGGCGGGTAAAGAGAAAATTCTGACATAGACACATACTGACTTCACTCTGCCCTCTTTATAACTTACAGATAGACAGAGAGAAAGAGAAAGAAGGATATATAGACATTCAGATATAGTGAGAGAGCGAGAGTGAGAGAGAGAGAGGGGGAGAGAGAGGGAGAGAAATTAGAAAGAGAGAGAGAGAGAGAGAGAGAGAGAGAGAGAGAGAGAGAGAGAGAGAGAGAGAGAAAGAGACGGAATGAAGGAAAGAAAAGGGGAGATAGAAAGAAAAACTTATCGTTAGCGTTTATTCATCATCGGACCAGGAGAACACGATTGCTCTTTCATCTCTTCCACCTAGTATCAGGCAAGCACGGGTAATTGAGTCGCAAACAGTTGGAAAAAAAAACCCAACCCCTCTGCCCCACAATCACCCCCCCCACACACACACACACACACACAAACACACACACACACACACACACACACACACACACACACACACACACACTAACAAAAAAAACAAGCACCCCTCCCCCCGCACCCCACCCCAACCCCCTTCCCTAACTGTCTCTTATCTTCCACACTCTGTGTGTCTCAATCGTTGACGCTAATAGTGAAGCTAGAGTGTTATCATACCCCGGCTCAAAAGGCTCGATAGGCCCGCAATGCCATGCAAGTGTTTTTACATGTCTGTTCTTCTGCCTCCGATCCCGTCCGAATAATTGCAGGATAAAGGTTATAATCTTCCACATCGATCATAACTCGCTTGAATCGATATAAAAAGCTGCCCATTGAAGTGGGGAAGATGGACAGCAATAGGTGCGTTGCTTGTTTCTGTTGGTTGTTTTTGCTGGGATATTGCTAGAATTGTTTTGCTTCTTTTGGTTGTTTTCCTGGAATTGCTTCTTTCGTTTGTTGGGTTTTTTTTGTTGTTTTTTTAATGGTATTGGAATTGTTTTGTGGTTTCATTCTGTTGGGTTTTTTTGTTGTTTTTTTAATGGTATTGGAATTGTTTTGTGGTTTCATTCTGTTGGGTTTTTTTGTTTCGTTTGTTTGTTTGCTTGTTTGTTTGTTTGTTTGTTTGTGTTTTAGTTGTTATTTTGTTTGTTTTTTGTTGTTGTTTGTTGTTGCTTTTTTTTGGGGGGGGGATTGCTGTGGTATTGTGTCGACATATCTTTTAAACAGTCGAACCTTCTCTAACGTGTGTAAGGTAATCACCTGTTCAAACTGCCACTTCACTTTGAGAGTAAGTAGGTTAGTAAGTGTATTCAGTGTTTAAAACCATTGGCCCACATCATATAATATAAAACACTCATTTGGTAAATAATTTGTCTCTCTTTTGGAGCATATCGAGGACGTCAAGATCTCAAGGTAAGGAAGTACTATTTTACATTCCTATTCATTTTTTTTTTATTCTTTGCTTCTTTTAGGATATAATATTATCATTGCTGGTGTGGTGCTATAATCACTTTCCATTTAAATTCTGTGCTAATGGTTTTGGTTATGTGTTCTTGGCTTGATTTGTAGTTTAAAGACCCAGCCGACAAGGGAATTGACACGCATGAAGACAGTGAAAAGACAAAGTAAAATAAATTAATAAAAAGAAAAGAGAGAGAAAGAGATGGGGAGAGAGAACGAAACAGAAAGTTTGAGAGGGAGCGGAGGAGGGGAGTTTGAGAGGGAGCGGAGGAGGGGAGTTTGAGAGGGAGCGGAGGAGGGGAGTTTGAGAGGGAGCGGAGGATGGGAGCTTGAGAGGGAGCGGAGGAGGGGAGTTTGAGAGGGAGCGGAGGAGGGG